GTGGCATACTACCTGTAGGACGAAGCTTATTTAAGCGATGGCATATCGGTAATGGTGCCCCGTTTCGTCCAGCAGCGCAGACGTTAATTTTAAAAAACTTTCGACAATAAATTTAAGTATCATGTTAAAAGGGGTATAATATCCAAGGAACTTAAGGGGCCCCTAAGTGATATTAAACTTTCTTTTTCGTGTGTACTTGAAGAACATATCGAACCTGGGACCATAGTTATAAGTGAAATTTGGTAAGTTTTTCGTCGAAGTGCTACGACGATGCAAGTGATTAATTGAAACGAAGTGTGCCTTCGCTGAGTGCTGTTCTCTGTGGATTTATCACCGCGTTGTTCTGTCACACGCTGACTGCAGTGTGCAGATGGATTATAAGAACACGCGGCGAAGCTAGTCACCCCCGATCTACATTTCTCTTTTCCCGTTTCGAGTAAAGTATAAATTTCCTTGTGAGGAACGTGAAGAGACAATTCAAAGTGGCTTGTTTTCACTGCCCTTGGGGAGTCAGTGGTTGTGAATCAGTCCACTTCCAACTTTAGTGCTTAGTATAATGTGCAGATAGAGCGGTTAAATACATCTCATGTGTGTGTTCTAATATATATTTTTTCTTTTTATTCGAACAGATGCGCACGAAAAAATTTTTTGTACGCAATTTTCATATTTTTTGAACAACATATGTACGCCCGAAAGTTGCGAATTGTCACTTGAATTAGCCGACCTATTCTCTCTTCTGCCCTTTGGATCCGAATATTTTATCGAAAAATTTCTTTAAATATAATCTTAATTAAATGGAGATGGCTGTCTTCCGGGTTGCAAAACCTTTTAGCCTAGTATATATTGACCGACATTTCAGGAGACCTGATGATGGAGGCAGTAAACTCCTCAGACTGCATTGTGTTGCTTCCCGGTCGACAGCCTTCTTCATAAACGTAATTACATAATCAATTTCTTCAAATGTAGGTGTATGTATATTCATTATAAATCAGAGTTTAATGCAGCGGTTATCATACCGTATTTATATGAGATGTATTAAGTACTACATTGGGACTAGAACAATATCTAACACGCGGTTGGATCGTGTTCTAGTCATGACGTTGGATACCTGATTACATTGTACATCCGTCTGGTTACTTGCTAAACCACTAACTGAAACGAGATGGCTGATAACAGCTCCACTTTTTTTGTGTAGTCACCACAGCCGAGCGCGTACGATCTTAATGTTCTGGACTACTGCTATCGCTTGTTCGAATCCCGCTCAGAGCACGATTATGTCCCTGGCTTCCTACAGGAAATGAGCTGTTTTCAGAATGAATTATGAATTGATATCAACCAAACCGCGTGCTTTTCACTGGCGTTAACCCTTTGATACAAAAACACGTATAAATATTATTTAAGAATTCAGTCCGTACCGCAAAGAAAACACAGCACTTCACCATTACAAAGATCAACTGGTTAACCCTGTTTAACGAAATAATCGCTGTTTACATTGAAAATGGTGCGAAACCTTTTAATACGCTCTTTGAATAAAATATACAGTTTTTTATTGTCAACGCGTGTGGTAATATTTTTATCACCAGGGTTTAAGGCGAAGTGTCTGTTAGTTCTGAGTTGTTCTGGATAAATTGGGGGATAGATCTTTAAAATAGACCACAAATGGTACCGTATATTCTACAGATTACTTGAGACTGGTTCGTTTCGATGTTTTTCTTTTAAATACGAATCCTATTCTATTGTTTGTAAATCTCAGTAGGCCCGAAATGTTTTAATCTGTGAATTATTCTTCCTAAAATTACACTAGTACCTTTTTGTATTATTTTTAATATGTCATACGTGATTTTTAGTTACTGTTTAATCTAATTACTTTTCAGTACTATTGTGTTTATTTATTTATTTATTTATTTAATTTGATTTCGTCTGAAGGACAGTTCTGCTTGAGAGAACGCTGTAAAGTGGAGATTTAATTTTACCATTGTCGATTCGGGACTGACTTGCTGCAACAATGTAAGATACTGGTCCATGGAGAGATGTAATTCTGAACTGAATGTTTAACGACGCTTAAATTAACATTGACAAACGATTTTTGTATAGAATTTGTAAGGAATATTAATTCATAAATATTTATTTCTGATTCATGTTCGGTCTTGTTGTGAATTAGACTGATTTCAGTCGTACACAGGAGTCAGAGACGTAGAACGTCATTTGTTTGTGAGAAAATAATTAGGCCTGCCTTGTTTGCGTAAACTTTTGGTTGACTTCAGAAACCGTCCTTCAGTTTGCCAAATTTTATATATTTATTCATAAATTAACTCTTCACACTGAAGTTTAAGCAGATTCGTTAACGCGAACTGTTCAGACTAAACTTGTCAATGAATCTCAAGAAGAGAATCAAATATCCAGGAATAGAATAGTTTGCTTTTAGTCTGGGAGTTTGAAACACCTGACAGTCATGGGTCCGTTGCTACATTGCACGCTAAAAGTTGTGTTACGATTTAACTCCACGGATGTAAAGTTCAGACGTACTCTTTCTGTCGACAGTGATTTAACGCCATATTTAATTACCGCTCTCCGTTTATTTAAATGAACCGATGTCGTGTAATTTATATCTTTCAAAAGTCACTATGGGGCACTTTTCTTCAGCTGATCTCCACAGCATCAAGTAAACTCAGATCAAAAGGATCACTGAGTCTGTCATTTATCTTTTGCGTAGTATTGAAAGAATTTAAAGACGATTGAAGTGTTTAGATGTAGAAGAAATAACACAGGACTTTTGTATACAGAGTATTTTATTTTAAAAAGTTTGACTGTAAATTATGTTCTCCCGAGTTTAACTCCATCTTCATGTTGGTCTTCAGAGTTCTGACACCGTGGTGGGTACCAACATTACGGGGCCGTAAACATGAGTACAGTATGTTGGTACCCACGTTACAGGTTTATATGGCGTCACAACCCAGAAGCCCACCATGGGTGTCTTCATCGCCATAAGAACTTTGAATTTCATGTTTAAGATCATTGAGTATCCCAACAAAGAAAAAGTGTACTTTACAATCAGCGCAGTCCTATGGGTTGAACGTCGTGTTAACCTAGAAGACTCTATGCTGTGTAATCGCCATGGAAACCTCACATCTTCCTCAGGCCTATGTTATAACCAGACTATAGGTAAGATAGCGTTCTCGTTTGCAGTAAGAGAACGATTCGATTTTCAGAAATGATTCTTTGGTGTACTTTCTTAAATCTCTTGCGTTAATGAAGTGTTATATTTCACAAGTTAACGCCAGACACACTTTTCTGAAGCTTTGAATATCCACCATCTGTTGTGAAATCCACCCAAGACGAACCTGCCATGTCATTATTACTCGTAAACAGGACGTCACTGTGAGTTGCGTTTGCATATAGGAGCATTACTAGGCGATTTGGTAATCTGATTTTACCTTCCGCAGGACATTATTTTAACAACCAGTAGAGCCTGTTATGTTCAAAATTGAATGATCTAAGTATAAAAGTTTGGAAGCTGCAGGCACAATTTCCCGTTTGACCCTTTAAAGCAGGAACTCATCTACATAATATTTTAAGAATTCAGTCCGTACCGCGAAGAAAACACCACACTTTACCATTACAAAGATCAGCTGGTTAACGCTGTTTAAGGAAATAATCGCTGTTAAATACGTTAGATAGAAATGAGTTTAAGTCAGAAACTTAAAATTACAGGATGAATATAAACTCTTTAATTGCATACGCATAATTTAAACTTTATAAAGTGGAACATGGGAGTTTAGGAGGCATTTTCACTTTGTCAGGTTTACACTCTTGTCACTGTTGTGAATAAGCCGTGTGTCGCTATGGTAACGGAGGAACTGTTGATTATGTAAGACAGATATTGTAGTGACCCAGTGCTTACACGAGTGGGCATTACCAATGAAGTACAGAAAGTATAAGAATTAGTAACGAAGGATTTGAATATTCTTATGAGCTATGTTTTCGGTTTAAATAAACTATGATTTTTATTATTTGTAGCATTTCCGCCTTCCACCCTGATTGATATATTGAAGGGTCATTCCGCAAGAAAGTGTTACGAAAATGTGTAAGATGGTTACCTAGGAAATATCAACAATTTGTAAATATGGACTGACAACAATGGTCAGCTTGGTAATGCTGCTTTTTAGCCAATTTTATAACATTATTCAGAATTTAACCATACTTAACATAAAATGCTCTTACATTTGGGTCTTTACTGTTCCTACTGTAGATAAACAGATTCCTTGCTGTGAATCGATTGTAGAAGAATTGCGTCGTAGACTATACAATTTTGTGCTCGTAAAAACGTTTTAGAATATCACAAGTACTTATGTTATGTAGGAATTATTAAGAAATCTGTTGCGTCATACTATGTAGAGATGGATGACATCGAAGCTAAAAGTCTGTAATGCTGAATATATGAGACACTACAGAAAACGTAAAAAAATATAAATATTAAATAATGAACCTAAAGTTCCTAAAAACTAATGCTGAACGTATGAGGGAATATAGAAATCGCAAGAATCAATTATTATGTTGATGTCAAATCCTCAATGTAGTAGTACTAGATCAAAATCTTGTATAGATATGGTGTTTGCACGATATGTTGATACTCTAAAATGTACACATTTTATAACATATTTCAGCTACCACAGACCCATCTTAAGCGTAACTAATTGAAGGTAGGCAGTACTGTCTTACTCAAACTTTAATCAATTGTAAAACGTGTATAAAGGAAATATTTAGAATAAAGCCTATATATAAACTCCTTGCCGTATAGACGTATTTACGTCAAATTCTCCGGAACCGTGGTTCCACTATCACTTTTTATCGTATGCAAATGGCAAGAATTTTGTTGGCCTATGTTCAAAAATAAAAAAATAAGTCAAAATAATAAATTAGATTAAGATAAATATTACCCATGTATTTAATATATAGCAGAAATTAATATGTAATGAAATTGGATCAATATAAATCATCTATGTCTGCTCTTCTTTTATCATCAAACAAACAGCAAGACTATAATTGATTCTTTTATACGTTTTATTCAAACTCTTTCTGAACACCTGTTGTTCACCTTCGGGGTTGTATGTACGTCATATTTGTCTTTTTATCTCCATTTTACAACAATAATAATTCAATTCAATTCATTTATTAAAGTGTTTGCTAACAGCAGGGAGCCAATGACAGGAAAACCTTAATAATACATAAAAATAATAATAAAGTAATAATAAAATAATTAAAAATATTACAAATACAAAAGCAAACAGATTAAACTAAATATATAGATGTACCGTATTAGGTATAACAGCCAATTATAATATTAATAATTGAATACCATTATAGAATGACAGAATCTTGAAATTGTTACATAATATTCGTTAGCTACTCATTGAAACTAGATCAAATGGTAGAACAAACAGAGTTTGTTAATTATAGTTTACAGTTGCATTAAAAACATTGTCATAGCTTCAATAATTTACAAGGCTGTTTATATGAAACCCCCTAAGGGTTCTTTTATGTGATTATGGAAACGCCATTCGTGTCAGATACGTTCAAACAATGAACTGCATCATTGTAACACTTTGATGTTCGCGTCTGCATTTGAAGCCATAGCTCGTCTAAATAATATTTAAGAATTCAGTCCGTACCTCAAAGAAAACACGCCTAGTCAACATTACAAATATCATAGAGTCAATGCTGTTTAGATAAATAATAGCTGTTTATTCTTAGAATGGTATAAAGTTACTGATTGTTAAAGAACGACAGATGGTACATATAATTACCATTGGGCTCTAAATGGTTGGTATATAAAAATTAGAAAGGAGACAAATAAAGCATTTCTGATATCAGCACCGATGGTTTAATCTACAAGCTTCGTTCTATCGCATAGTGTTTGTGATAAACTTCTTTGAAGACACAATTATTTAAACAACCATTTGGGAAATAATCACTATCAGATGATCGTTTATATTTGTTTTTAATATTATAACATGCTAAGTTTTATCCTACAAGTTTCGTAAGGCTCGCTTTAAAAATACAAACTTGTATAATTCGACAACAAATCAGCAGATTGCGTAAAGACGTGGGTTATTAAAGACGTTCCCCTGATACCGAGCTCCAGCTAATTAGGATAAAAAAACTGTGATTTGGCTGTGTTACTTATCTTGAGTAAAATGTCGGCGTACGGTCTGTTTATCCAAACTCCCCTAATTTGGTGCGGTCTATATTAATGCTGTACAGCAAACATTTGAGATGTTTTTGGCCAGGTTTTGCGAATTTGTCATCCTTGAAGCACCGCACGGAGCTCAACCTAGGCTCCTCCCCACTACCTTCCTCATCCCTACCTTTTCTTGGCCCACAGTAATATGTTAGGTTGCTGCTTGCTAACTCTTGCCAAAATAATTAAGAAAGTCATCCCTGGCGGGCTAAAAGTGTCCGCTGTGAGTGAACACCGCCATTTGGCAGCGTCCATGTTGCCCGGGGCAACTAACTAACCTTAACTTAGCTGCTATGTAATTTGGGCAAGCTACAGGTTGGAAATGCGTATTTGTGCCGCTGTTAGGTAACGCGGGTTACATCATGTTGAGAAATGCACTAATAGCCGGTAAGAAATCGGCTCTAAATTTGGTAATTTAAGATCTATTTTAAAATATTCATGCTCAAAAATTTGGGAACGATTCAAAATTGCATTCACGAAGAAATTGAGACCAGATTAAATGCGGGGATACAGCTCAAAATTATTTCCCTTTCCGTTTGCTACCTGGATTCTAATGATTAAATTATACAAAAAAAAATATAGTCCTATCAGTTGTTTTGTATGAGTGTGAAATTTGGCCTCTTACATTGAGGGACAGCTGGGTGTTGAGGAGAATATTTGTACCTAGGAGGGTTGGATTGACAGGAGACTGGAGAAAAAAATTCGTGTTGAGGAACTTCATGAATTACGCTCTTCACTAAATATAGAAAATTATTAAATCAAAAAATGACATGTGATACCCATGGATTAGATGGAAAATGCTACGCAATCTCTCAACAACAAAAAATAACTGCAATTTAATTTCCACTCTATAACAGGTGAATGAGCTAAGCTGTGAAAATAATTACTGTTTTAATAAGTCTTTAAACATAAAGATGAAATTCCGCGAATGTGTTTACGTATCCGACTTTTTTCAGACGCCACGTTGTGTGGTATATAACACATACATCCGAGTGTTGGCTAAATTCGTCCAGTTAGTTGAGGAACAGTTAAATTTGGATTTAAATTGTTTATTTTGGCCCCTCAAATGTAACTCAGACACGGACTATGACTTTATTTCCGCTGTGTCATCATATCCTAACACTCAGTACCCATGGACCGAGAAAAGCATTTTTAGTAGAAATGTATGTACGTATTCCTGGCTGTTACCCCACGCACACATGTTATAGAGCTCAGTGTTAACATGTTAATAGTGTTTTGTTTAAGATACTGTCGTAAGATGTTAAAATAATAGGCACAAAGGCGATCATATAACAAAATACCTGTTATTCCTCTGAAGAAATGAAAACGTGTATTTGTATTTTGCGGTTATTTCGCGAATAATGTCAGTCAGCCAGATCGGTCACGTGACCTTCCTCAACCAATCCCTTCACTCCACATGACAAAAACGTGTTGCATTGTGATCCAGAGTTTTGTATGTTGTCGTAAGTATTGGGCAATAAACGAGTACAGAATAAATCAACATTAATGAATTTTGTTGCCTTTAGAGTTAATAATAAAGAGTTTTGAACACCAACTTTCCTTCGCTAGAATGTAGTACGAAAAGCTATCACATAGTGTCGCTGCGCTGAGTAGAACAAGTTTGGTAGGCCTACGAGAGAAACGGTCATATACGAGTTCGCGTAAGATGTTGTCCGCATTGAATAAGTATTTTCATACTTTCGTAATGATTAGTGTATGATATTTTCTGTTAGTTTGTATCTTATATGTGTTGGTGTAAATAGATTATTGAATAGTGCTGTGTGTAGTGTCTTTTTTTATTTGTTTGCAAACTCGACTTAGTATTCGTGGTACGTCTTCCGAGTTCCAATCTAATGCTAAGAAGCTTGGACGGTGAGTTTCACGCTATCATTTCCGGTTTGTAGGATTACGTTTTTACTGTTAGTTATTGCTCATTAATATGAAGAGTGTGATTAATTGAATTGTACATGTACGCTTATAAAGTACAAATTTCGGTTGAGTATTGTTTAAATATTAAATTTCATATGTGAGGGAGGATCTGTAAATTTGTCAGCAACATTCCTTTGTTTGTGTGTGATAATCAAAGAATCTTTTAAGTTTTCTGGGTGCATAATGAAAGTGAGAATTGTGGTAAATTCGGGCGAGTCACATATTAAAGGATCATTGAAAATGGAGTCATGTGATTACATTTTTATTTATGCCATACTTCTTTTTCTTAACTGTAAACATTTTGTGATTTCATGAATGTGTATTTGCTGTACTCTTATTTTAAATAAATGGTGACTTTTCACCAAATTTCACATTTTTTGGGTGTTGATTGTTTTGTATTTGAGGTAGGATACTTTCCATAACCTCAAATTTTTTGTTCTGCAGCTGGGTATTGTGACATTTATTTTTATCTTTTATGGGTTACAGATCGTGCTGTTGGTGGGAGTTTGTTAATGTGCACTAGAAGAAGGTTTTGAAGACCATCACAGAAGTTGAAAGGTAGCTTAAGCAGCCATGGAAGACGGACATGCGAAAACTGTGGATGAGGTTTTAAATTATTTCTCTGTGGATCCAGAGAGAGGTCTTACACCTGATCAGGTGAAGAGAAATCAGGAGAAATATGGACCAAATGGTGAGTTTCAATGATTCTGAAATAGATAAATTTGTTTATGTTGCAAGTGTGCCTTTCAGGTATTTTCAGTATGCATTGGGTGAAGTTTAAAACCATTTGTAAGAGGTAATGATGTCTGGGAAATTATTATCTATCTTTTTAAATATAATTTAAATCTATAATAAGAAGCTAAAATGTGTTTGAGTACCGGATGTCCATAAAATACAATGAATTGCTGTTCTTTTATGAAGGTAAAAGTCAGTGTGAAATTGATCATAGACCTTAAATTGGAAACATTTTATTACTATATAAATTAAGCACTATTGAGAGCAGCAGTGTGGGATTATGAGTATGTTGTTCGGTCTGTATAAAAGTGATGGCGCGTGCTTAATATTGTTGAACAGGTAGCATTTCAGTTGTGGGTTTCTAGGTAGCAATGCTGTGTAATACTCCACGTAGTAACTGATATTTGGAGAAATATTTGTAAGCACTTACAAGACTACATTGCCCACAATACCACATTTGGTATACTCAGTGCTGTAATAATCTCAAATCCCATGTTACTATTTTTCCTTCTCGTCCGGTACGAGAAGGCGTGTCATTTGAGTCACTTCAGTTTGTGAATGTATGTAAATTGTAGTGTCTTGCTGGTCATATCATAAGACATTAGGTTACAGTGTTACAAGTATTCTGAAGACGATACCAAGTTGTGATAGCATTGTCAGTATAGTGACTAGCAGTGGTCTGGTCGATCAGAATTCAGTTCTTGACAGGTGCAAGGATTTTTCTCCTCAAATTTTGGTTGGATAGCCTGTTTGAAGAGTTCTTAAAAGACCTAGGCATAGATGGAGATGCAATATTGAAATTGGGCGTCGGTGTGTGAACTGGATTACATCTGGCCCAGAATAGGGACCAGCAGTGGGCTTTTATGAACCATAATGAATTTTTGGGTTTTGTGAAAGGTGGGAAGTTTCTTGTTTAGCTGCGGTGCTGCTGGATTGTGAAGCAGGCGCACTTACCTCCATTGTCGCTGCCAGACTTGAGAATATGTGGAGTTTCATCTCCACTTCCTCATAGTGATCTTACAATCCAATCCAATCCAATCCCAAATTTGTGGACATTGTTGACCATTCCTCCGTGCAAGAGATGTAAGACGTGTTCCATTTGTCTTTTTTCTGTAGTACCATGCAACAAGCTTGCCATTTTAGGTATGCTGCTTCTTATACAAGCATTTGCGCTCAATTTTCTATCATGAAATTGTGAGAACAATTTCCTGGCTCATAATATCATCTCTGTGCAGTTCCACAAGCTGGTGATTACAGTGTGTCCACAAAGTCCCTTCGGGGTTTTGAAAAATCATAGCGCGAAAAAAAGTTGAGCTAGCCACATGCGGTTTGCGGCAGATTACATTGAAACTCTGGAAGTTTTTTACTGACCTCAGTAGACCTCGATGTGGGCTCCCTTGGTAGCACGGAGAACGTCCAGACGATATTCGAGCTCTTGCCATGTTCTGTGGAGCATGTCCGCTGGAATAGCCAAGATCGCATTCCTGATACGGGTCTTCAGGTCATCAAGTCTGTTAACTGGTGTTCGGAAAACACTGCTCTTGACATGACCCCACAGGAAAAAATCCTGTGGTGTTATGTCTGGTCAACGTGGAGGCCAAGGCATTGGACCGTCTCTGCCGATCCATCTTCCTGGAATTGTGAATTTAAGTTTTTGTTTGAATTTCATTTCCTGTAGAATTGTGGCTGGAAAATTAGAGACACAGAGGTAAATGAAACAGTGTTTTTCGTCTCTTGACTTGTTTTCAGTTATTTTTGTGGAAGGTCATGCATTCTATTTAAATTATTTCATCTTCCTCTTACAGACTCTGAATGTATATTCGTAATGACTGTAATAGAGTCTTAAAGGAACTAAGAGACTTGTTCATTTACTCGGTCGATATGGTTCTGATATTTCTATAGGTGATTTGTAGTCGTGTCATGATGTCATACGTATTTTCACGTTGTTTTTAATTCTGATCAGGTGTCAGAGCACATTTTGATGGGTAGCCATTTCACAACTACTTTCACTCTTGTGAATACGGCTTTCTTTCGCTTTGAATGCATATCGAGTTTCGAACAATCATCGTACAGAAATAACTGTGAGATATAGATCGAAGCCAATCATTCGTCAGAAGCGTCGTAGAATGACCTTCTTTTCACTATTAATTTTCTAACTTGGGTTATGATTACATAAAATATTATGACTTTAACTTGTGGTACTATTTTTTGATGTGGAGTGCATATAAGTGTTAAATTAATTTTAGTAGAAAATTATCTCTAAATTGACAAGACTCACATTATAATAATACATAAAAATCATATTTTAATTGTTCACCTAAATAAAAAAATTTCACTGATTTCTGTAGCTGCTGTTGCCATAGTAACCAAATTTAAGCTCCTCATCAGGCGAGCTTTAAAGGCTTAGAATATTATGGTCCGATAGCTTTATCAAAGTAAACAGTGTGCGTTTTACAGGCATTTGGCAGAAGGGATTATAAATGGCGTGCATAAACGAGGCCGTATCGACATAAATGAAACTTGTCCATTCTGAAATGATCAGCGGAAGTAAAGCTCGGCACTGAACTGATCATAACTGAATAATTATGGTTACAAATAACTCTCCTGTTATAATAAACGAGCATTAAATTTTCACCGTTAGTTGATACTTATTCAATTTGGTATTGAATAAATCAACAATTAGTACTGAGACCTGTTATTGCATACATTAAAAGGAAATTAAATTTGACATATATAGGCGTATTTAACTTGTTTAAAGCCTCATTGTAATAGTCACTAAATTAACAGGATAAAACAAATCTGATTTCAGCGCAGTCTAAATTGAATCAGGACCTCTTTTTTTGTTTTTCTTTGTTAATTGTCGTAGTCTTCACTTGAACCATTTGTTTTTGCGCAGAATATGTTGCAAGTTTACGTCAAGAAAATCTTAATTATAAATTGGCCTTTAAAATTGTCTGCTTTAAATGGTGGCTCAATGCACATGAATGTAAAGTAACCATTGTGAACAACGCTAATGATCAACGGCCTAAACGTTACTTTGAACTGTGAACAACCTTGGGTTTCCAGATTTGGAAGAAATTTCATAGTATTCGACCATGAGTCTTATCAAAGTGATGAAGATGTTGGTGAAATGTTTCTGGGTGATGACACAATGTTAGCTTGTGTGTAGATACCGACGTTTCGGGGAAACATGTTTTCTCAATCTTCAGAGTATCACAGCTGAGAACATTGACAGCGAACGAAAATGTGATTCAGCACTTTTCTCATTGAGTGACAGAAAATTATGGTAATTTATTTCTGTGCGTCTGGTTCAGTTTTAATAACATTCTCAAGAAGTTCATAATGAAGTGTAGGTGACATGTAGCCTCGATTTGACTATGATACCATTAAATCTATATTCTCCTATTCAGCGTTTTCTTTTCACTGATAATATCCAAAGTATGAACCTTGTACCGACGAGAACTACTGTTGTTATAACACGATGACTCAAGTAATTCGTATCGTGCATATCTTGAGCTGTATATTTCCTTTATGTCAGTATTTTTCCGGTAACGTAACAGTCTGTGATAAAGCGTGTGAATTGACTGTTGTACTAACCGTGGACAGCGTAAATTTGTTCGGTCCGTGATACTCAGTAGGTACCGGAAGGCGCTGACTAAATTCCGTTATACGAGTTTGCTGGAAACTTCCCTTCTTAATGTAGCAGTATCGCGCAAGAAGCCAAATTGTTTTCGGTTCACACCTTAATACAGTTTATGTAAGATTCGTATTTCTCGATAATGTTCACCCATCTATGCGTGGATTTCCCCTGTGTTCTCCCATCTATTTTATAAGAAACGTACAGCCTCCGAAACTTTAGAACGTTTGTACACCTGAGGATGGTTCATTTAGAACCGAAACATGTAGTGTAAAAGATGATGCTCTAATGTAAATCGAACATTTCGATAGAGAGCATCATTTTAATATATTTTTAAATATTTAAATGTTAATTGTAGTAATATTTTAATATTTAATAATAATATTTTATTGTGATTAGACTGATAAAATTGAACAAGTATTAGGAATATTACTACAAAATTTTAAGACGTCCGTCTTCGGGGTTGTAGCGCCATATTTTCTGGTAAACGTCTACCAGACAACACGGCGATACAACCCATAAGACGGCCATCCTCGGGACACATCGCCGTGAAAATCACAGATCCTGCTTATTAAAATTTGTTGGCATATTTTACAGTTCTGACAAAAATCGCTGATAACTTCGCTTGAAGGCCTCTCCATGCGCTGCTGCGGGTGGTAGGGACCCCAAGCCAAGTGGGGAATCCCCGACTGTGACGTCACTTTCACAATTTAAAAAGGTCCATTCCCGGTGAACGTGTAGCAGTTGTTACGTCCTTCATATGTTTTCTGAAAAGTCGGCCATTTGCTGCACCGCGAAAACTCTACGACGAATCTGCAGTCCCATCTGTGAAATGCAGTGCTCGGTACGCATGCGCTGTCTACTACAATAGGATGATTATTCAAATGGAAACAATTGTTTCGCTGTGACATACTTTGATGCCACAAGTTGTTGTCTTCAGCGTTGAATTTCAGCTTCACGCCCGCATGTCGTGTGAATGCCACAAGCGCCCAAGCAACCAGGTACACGCGTTGCTGCTGATAACGGAGTAGCCTACAGGGTGTGCAATGTAAAAACAGCCCAACAACTACGGTATATAAATTAAGTCAGAAGCGGTCAGTCCTCAAATCAAGGTCCATCCTGTAGCTTGTGGGGTTGTGCAGGCACGAACATGGTGTGTGCCCTGTAGCTTGTGGGTTGTGCAGGCACGAACATGGTGTGTTCATTTTCAGTGAATGTTTAAATACTGTTTAGATGGTTTAAAATGGTGAAGATGCTTCAAGGCCAAACACACTGTATCTGTGGAAACAGAACGTCTTCCTGTAAAGTCACTGAACAAC